AAACTCTCAGTCCTCATTGACGGAGAAAACAAGATATTCAATGACAAAAACAAATTTCAACAGTATCTACACACAAATCCAGCATTACAGAAGACACTGGAAGGGAAAATACAACCCAAGAAAATTAGCTTCTGTCAAGAAAACACAGGAAATAATTAACCTTACTACAGGAAAACAAAAAGGAACCAAACACACAAACTTATGAACACAGCCAACATCAAAATCAAAGGATCTAACAGCCACTGGTCATTAATCTCTCTCAACATCAATGAACTCAACTCTCCAGTAAAAAGACACAGATTAACAGAATGGATATGTAAACAAAACCCAGCCATCTATTGCATACTAGAAACACACCTAAGGCACAAAGATAGACATTACCTGAGGGTAAAGGGTTGTAAGACAGTTTTCCAAGCAAATAGACCTAAGAAGCAAATAGGAGTAGCCATTCTAATATCTAATAAAATAGACTTTCAACTAAAATTAATCAAAAGACATGGGGAAGGACATTTCATACTCATCAAGTGAAAATTCCCCCAGGAAGACATCACAATCCTGAACAACTATGGCCCAAATACAAAGGCACCCACATTTGTAAAAAAAACATTGATAAAACTTAAACCACATATAGATCCCCACACATTAATAGTGGGAGACTTCAACACCCCACTCTCAACAAAGGACAGGTCAACAAAACAGAAATTAAACAAAGAAACAATGTCTATGACAGAGGTCATGAATCAAATAGACCTAACAGAAATTTAAAGACCCTTACACCCAAACACAAAAGAATTTACCTTCTTCTTAGCACCTAATGGAACCTTCTCCAAAATAGACCACATAGTTGGTCACAAAGTAAGCCTCAACAGATATAAGAAGATTAAAATAATCCCTTGTATCCTGTCTGATCACCATGGAATAAAGCTGGACCTTAACAACAACAGAAATAGCAAAAAGCCTACACACACATGGAAACTGAACGACTTGCTACTAAATGACAGCTGGGTCAGAGAAGAAATAAAGAAAGAAATTAAAATCTTCCTAGATCTCAATGAAAATGAAGAAACAACATACCCAAACTTGTGGGACACAATGAAGGCAGTGATATGAGGAAAGTTCATAGCACTAAATGCCTTCAAGAAGAAATTCGAGACAGTGCACTCAAACAACTTAATGGCTTACTTAAAAACCCTAGAAAAAGAAGCAGACACACCGAAAAGGAGTATATGGCTGGAAATAAGCAAACTAGGGATGAAAACAATCAATTAGAAACAAATAAAACAATTCAAAGAATCAATGAAACCAAGAGTTGGTTCTTTGAGAAAATCAACAAGATCGACAAACCCTTAGCCAAGCTAACTAAAATGCAGAGAGACACCATCCAAATCAACAAAATCAGAAAATGAAAAGGGGGACGTAACTACAGACACTGAGGAAATCCAAACAATCATTAGGACTTACTTCAAAAGTCTATATGCCACAAAGTTTGAAAATCTAGTGAAACAGACAATTTTCTTGATGGATTTGACTTACCAAAGCTGAATCAGGACCAGGTAAATCAATTAAATACTTCTATATCCCTCAAGGAAATAGAAGCAGTCATCGAAAGTCTCCTATCCAAAAAAATCCCAGGACCAGATGGTTACAGCACAGAATTCTACCAGACCTTCAAAGAAGAGCTAACTCCAATTCTCTGTACTATAGAGCAACAGTAATAAAAATTGCATGCTACTGGCATAGATACAGAATGGTGGATCAATGGAACCGAACAGACGACCCAGAAATGAACCCATACACTTATGGACACCTGATCTTTGACAAAGATGCCAAAACCATACAATGGAGAAAAGATAGCATCTTCAACAAATGGTGCTGGTCTAACTGGTTGTCTACATGTAAAAATGGAAATAGATCCATACTTATCACCCTGCACAAAACTGAAGTCCAAGTGGATCAAAGACCTCAACATAAAACAAGACACATTAAATCAGTTAGAAAAAATAGTGGGAAGACCCTAGAACTCATTGGTACAGGAAACAACTTCCTGAACAGAGCACCCACAGCACAGGCTCTAAGAGCAACAATCAATAAATGGGACCTCATAAAACTTAAAAACTTCTATAAAGCAAAAGACACTGTCATCAAAACAAAACGACTGCCCACAGATTGGGAAAAAATCTTCACTAACCCTTTATCTGACAGAGGGCTAATATCTAATATATATAAAGAATTAAAGAAGCTGAAAAGCAGTAATCCAATTAAAGAATGGGGAAAAGAGCTAACCTAGAACTCTCTGTAGAGGAATATCGAATGGCAGAGAAACACTTAAAGAAATGCTCAATGTCATAAGCCATTATGGAAATGCCAATCAGAACAACCCTGGGATTTTTTTTTAATTTTATTTTTTTCTTATCAGTTACATTTTATTAACTCTGTATCCCAGCTGTGTCCCGATCCCTCATTCCCTCCCAGTCCCTCCCTCTATCCCTCATCTCCACCGTGCCCCTTTCCAAGTCCACTGATGGGGGGACCTCCTCCCCATTCATCTGATCCTGTTTTATCAGGTATCTTCAGGACTGGCTGCAAAGCTCTCCTCTGTGGCCTAACAGGACTGCTCCTCCCTTGGGGGGGTGGGGAGGCCAAAGAGCCAGTCATTGAGTTCCTGTTAGAAATAGTCCTTGTTCCCCTCACTATGGGAAACCAATTGGTTACTGAGCTACCACAGGCTACATCTGAGCAGAGGATCTAGGTTATATCCATACATTGTCCTTGGTTGAATGTCAGTCTCAGAAAAGACCCTGTGCCCAGATATATTTGGTCCTTGTGGAGCTCCTATCCTTTCCCCAACAGACTAACTCCCCTTCTTTCTTATGATTCCCTGTACTCTGCCAAAGGTTTGGTCATGAGTCTTTGCTTTGAAAACACTGCTAGTTAGAGCCTTTCAGATGCACTCAGTAGACTCCTGTCATACGTTCAATGCACATCCCATCTGTCTTTCTAAACGAGGATTGATCATCTTCGCCCATGTCCACTTTCTTGATCATCTTTTTTAGGTGTACAGATTTCATTATGTTTATCATATCTTATAGGTCTATATAAGTGAGTATATACCGTGTTTGTCTTTCTTCTTCTGTGATATTTCACTCAGGATGATCTTTTCTAGATCCCACCATTTGCCTGCCAATTTCATGATTTCCTCCTTTTTGATTGCTGAGTAGTATTCCATTGTGTAAAAATACCACAATTTCTGTACCCATTCCTCCGTTGATGGACATCTGGGTTGTTTCCTCTGGCTATTACAAATAAAGCTGCTATAAACATAGTTGAGCAAATATCCCTTTTGTGTACTTGAGCAAACTTTGGGTATATACCTAGCAGTGGTATAGCTGGGTCTTGAGGAAGCACTATTCCTAATTGTCTTAGAAAGCGCCAGATAGATTTCCAGAGTGGTTGTACCAGTTTACATTCCCACCAGCAGTGGAGGAGGGTTCCCCTTTCTCCACAACCTCTCCAGCATGTGTTGTCCCTTGAGTTTTTCATCTTGGCCATTCTGATGGGTGTAAGGTGAAATCTCAGGGTTGTTTTGATTTGCATTTCCCTGATGGCTAATGAGGATGAGCATTTCTTTAAGTGTTTCTCTGCCATTCGATATTCCTCTGTGGAGAATTCTCTGTTTAGCTATGTTCCCCATTTTTTTAATTGGATTACTTGGATTGCTGCTTTTCAGCTTCTTTAGTTCTTTGTATATACTCGATATTAGTCCTCTGTCAGATAAAGGGTTAGTGAAGATTCTTTCCCAATCTGTAGGCAGTCGTTTTGTTTTGATGACAGTGTCCTTTGCTTTACATAAGCTTTTCAGTTTCATGAGGTCCCATTTATTGATTGTTGCTCTTAGAGCCTGTGCTGTTGGTGGTCTGTTCAGGAAGTTGTCTCCTGTGCCAATGAGTTCTAGGTTGTTCCCCACTTTTTCTTGTAACAGATTTAATGTGTCTGGTTTTATGTTGAGGTCTTTGATCCACTTGGACTTTAGTTTTGTGCAGGGTGATAAATATAGATCTATTTTCATTTTTTTGCATGTGGACATCCAGTTGGACCAGTGTAGAGAGCCGAAAAGTATAGCCGCCATTACAAGATGGCGCTGACATCTGCCTCTGCTCCTGGTAAACAAATGATATGCGCATGTGCCAAAAGCGAGTGCGCGCCTAGTCACGGCCCAGCCCGGGGCGTCATTTGGGAGACACACCGCTCTGAAGCATATATAAGCCTTGCCTTTTGGGGCTCGGGGTCTTCCTCTTTCCATCGCAATAAATGTTTGCTGCAGAAGGATCCTGGTGTCCGTGTGCGTTCTTGCTGGTGAGACGATTGCGCGGGTCACAGTTGGTGCTGAAACCCGGGAAGCCCACCATTGCCGGCGCCGAGGAGACCCCCCATTCAAGGGGAGGATTCAGAACTGCAGGACTAAGGTAAGTTCTGAGAGGCATGTTTGGTCTTGATTTGTCTCATCTCTCTCCCCAATTGGCAGGAGCTCTTGTAGCTTTCCCTATTGTGATAGTAGCGCTCGTTCTCTCTCTTTTGGTTTTATTTTGCTTCCACAAATATTCTTGCTAACAGGCTTGCCGCCATTGGGCACGGTCAGACGGACGTAGATAAGCCACAGTGCCCCTCTCTGTGTGTCAGCTTCTCTCGTAGATAAGAGAGCAACATGGGAGCTTCACATTCGGTGATCACGGCGCTTCAGTCGCTCTTGAGGCAGCATGAGTTAAAGGTTTCTACAAAAACATTGGAGGGGCTTGTGAAGGAGATCGATTGCGTGGCGCCCTGGTATGTGTGCTCGGGGTCGCTGATGTTCGCCTCCTGGGAGAAGTTGGAGGGTGACAAGATGGAAAATTAAAGCTGGAACCAGACCATTGTGGAAGCTAGTGAGGTCATGCCTGCAGGACGAGAAATGCCGCTCAACTGTAGTGGCAGGCCAGGGAGTGTTAGAGGAGCTGCAAGACAGCATGTCAGAAACAGAGCAGGATAAAAGGTTAGGAGCTCATAAAGAAAAAAGAAAAGGCATGCCTAAGAAAAAAGCTCCTTCTGTGGACGCTTGGTCCACAGAAGTGAAAGAGAAGGGAAAGGACACCCTGGGAGAGAAACATGAGGGGGGAGAAAAGGCCCTGAAAAAGAAGTCTCTTTATCTGATAAAAGAACTGGAGGCTTTAGGAATTGATAGCTCTGAATCGGAGGAACTAAGCTCCTCTGAGGAGGAAGATTTAGATGAGGAAGTGGCTCGCTACGAGGAAGAGAGATACTATCCTGATGAGCGGCCGCTACCAAAAGCAAAAGAAGACGGGAGATAGGAACCGTGCGGCTTCTCAGCCTGCCACCCCTGTCATCCCCAGTGCTCCTCCGCCTTATGCAGACAAGTACTGTTCAGATTCCTTCCTTTCAAAGGGAGACAGAAGAAAGTTCTTACAAGCCTTCCCGGTGTTTGAGGCTGCGGATGGAGGCCGTGTCCATGCACTGGTAGAATATCCCTTTATTAAGGAACTTGCTGAATCAGTTAATAAATATGGAGTAGATGCTAATTTTACAGTCATGTAGCTTGAGAGACTCGCCAATATGGCGATGACTCCGAATGATTGGCAAAATACAGTAAAAGCTGCTCTTCCTAATATGGGACAATACATGGAATGGAAAGCCTTATGGCATGATGCTTCTCAAATATAGGCAAGGGCCAACGCCAATGCAGAAGATAATCAACGGCAGTGGACTTTTGATTTGTTAACAGGGCAAGGACAGTTTGTCAATAATCAGACAAACTACGATTGGGGAGCATATGACCAGATCTCCGCTGCTGCTATTAAAGCATGGAAAGCCCTCTCAAAAAAGGGCGAGGCCGGGGGACATCTAACAAAAATAATACAAGGCTCCCAGAAATCATTCTCAGACTTTGTGGCTAGGATGACAGAAGCAGCAGGCAGGATATTTGGAGACCCGGAACGAGTTAAACCAATGATAGAACAACTGGTGTATAAAAATGCCTCACCAGAATGTAAGGCAGTCATTACCCCTAAAAGAAGTAAAGGGCTGACAGACTGGATAAAGATTTGCCGAGGACTTGGAGGCCCGCTTACTAATGCCGGCCTTGCAGCAGCTATCTTACAAAGCAAAAACCGCCCGAGTCCTGGCGGCCGTAAAGTTTGTTATAACTGTGGCAAACCGGGTCATTTAAAACGAGAATGCCGTGCTCTTGCACAAAAGAAAACTCCAGGGCTCTGTACCAAGTGTAGAAAGGGTTATCACTGGGCCAATGAGTGTCGCTCAGTTAGAGATATTCAGGGAAAGCTTATTCAACATGACACCCCTTCAGAGAAAAGGGATGAAAGTATTCCAAAAAACGGGTTTCAGGGCCCCAGGTCTCAGGGCCCCAAAAGATATGGGACACAAGTAGGCAACAGGAAGACACCTCTAGCCGCAGAGCTACAAGAGGCTCCACAGGATTGGACCTCCGTTCCACCGCCCAATTCTTACTAATGCCACATGTGGGCATGCAACCTGTCCTGGTTGATTTTAAAGGCCCCCTGCCTGAGGGAAGTGTCGGCCTTATTCTAGGTCGCTTCTCTCTTACCTTGAAGGGGCTTATGGTTCATCCTGGTATAATAGACCAAGACTATACCGGGAAACTTCAGGTTCTCTGCTCTTGTCCACAAGGCATATTTTCTATTTCTCCTGGGGATAGGATTGCTCAATTAGTTCTCCTTCCAAGCTTACATGACTGTTTTCCATCTACCGGAGTGTCAAGAGGCGCCAAAGGGCTTGGTTCTTCAGGAACTGACTTCGCTCACTTGGTAGTTGATCTTAAAACTAGACCCACCTTACAATTACAAATAGAGGGAAAGAACTTTATCGGCATTTTGGACACGGGAGCTGATAAAAGCATTATTTCCTCCAACTGGTGGCCTAAGGCGTGGCCTGTTACACAATCGTCTCACTCCTTACAGGGGTTGGGATATGAGGCCAGCCCCGCAGTCAGTTCACGCTCATTGACTTGGCAGGCACCAAAAGGTCAAATAGGAAGCTTTATACCTTATGTACTTCCTCTTCCCGTTAATCTCTGGGGAAGAGACATCTTACAAGATTTAGGATTAGCATTAACTAATGAGTACTCTCAACAAGCTATTGATATTATAAAAAGGAGGGGATATAAGGAAGGAAAAGGCCTTGGCAAAAAAAAAAAAAACAAAAAACAACAACAACAAAAAAAAACAAAAAAGATTAAGCCCAATCTCACAAGAAAGTAATACAGGAAAACAAGGTTTGGGTTTTCCCTAGTTGCCATTGAGGGTTCCATGCCCATACCCTGGCTTACGGAGGAGGCCATATGGGTTCCTCAATGGCCCCTTTCCTCTGAAAAGTTAGAAGCTGCTACAAGGCTGATTCAAGAACAAGTACAGCTTGGTCATTTGGAGCCCCCACCTCTCCCTGGAATACACCTATTTTTGTTATAAAAAAAAATCAGGAAAATGGAGACTTCTCCATGATCTGAGGGCCATTAATGCGCAGATGCAGCTATTTGGCTCCGTGCAATGAGGCCTACCTCTGCTCTCTGCTTTACCTAAACAATGGAGGATTATAATTATAGATATTAAGGATTGTTTTCTCTCCATTCCTTTATGCCCACAAGACAGGCAAAGATTTGCATTTACCTTACCTACTGTTAATCACCTCGAACCAGACAAAAGATATCATTAGAAAGTTTTACCTCAAGGCATGGCCAACAGCCCCACCATGTGTCAGCTGTATGTACAAATGGCCCTTGAACCAGTTAGGAAACAATTTCCCTCCTTGTTATTGATCCATTATATGGATGACATCCTTATGTGCCATAAGGAATTAGCTATTTTACAGACTTCATACCCTTTATTGCTAAAAACCCTGGGACAATGGGGCCTACATATTGCTACTGAGAAGGTTCAAGTTTCAAAAATAGGTTCCTTTCTAGGAACAGTTATTTACCCAGAAAAAATAGTTCCTCAAAAATTAGAGATTCGCAGAGACCATTTATATACTTTAAATAATTTTCAAAAATTATTGGGTGATATAAATTTTTTGAGACCATTTCTAAAAATTCCCTCTGCTGAATTAAAACCTTTGTTTGATATTTTGAAAGGGGATGCTCATATTTCCTCGCCTCTAGCCTTAACGCGGGCTGCAAGCCGCACCCTACAAGTGGTAGAAAATGCCTTACAAGATGCCCAGCTAAAACGCATAGATAAAACCAAAGCCTTTGACTTGTGTGTTTTTAAAACTAAACATTTACCAACTGCTGTGCTATGGCAAGATGGGCCCTTGTTATGGGTTCATCCCAATGCTTCTCCTGCAAAGATTATTAAATGGTATCCAGATACAGTTGCTCAGCTTGCCCTTCGTGGGTTAAAAGCAGCCACCACCCATTTTGGAAAGAAACCCAAGGTTTTAGTAGTGCTTTATACTGCCCATCAAGTCCAGATACTAACTGCTACCTCTGATATTTGGGCGGTACTGGTCACCTCCTTTGGCGGTTTGATAGATAACCACTATCCCAAACATCCCATCCTACAATTTGCTTTGACTCAAACAGTTGTGTTCCCGCGCATTACATCCCAGGAACCGCTTCTGGACGGAACAGTAGTCTATACGGATGGGTCAAAAACAGGAGTGGGGGCCTATGTGGTTAATGACAAAGTTGTATCTAAACAATATCATAAAACCTCACCTCAAATTGTAAAATGTTTAGTGGTGCTAGAGGTCCTGAAAAATTTTTCAGGTCCCTTAAATATTGTTTCGGATTCCTGTTATGTGGTAAATGCAACTAAAATTTTAGAGGCTGCCGAGTTGATTAAAGCATCTAGCAAGCTTGCAAAAATCTTTCAAAAGATTCAGTTTACTTTGGTTAATAGGAGATTCCCTGTTTTTATTACACATATTAGGGCTCACTCAGGCCTACCGGGACCCATGTCCCATGGAAATGACCTGGCAGATCGAGCCACAAAGTTAATTACACTTGCCCTTTCACCAAAATTGGACTTGGCTAAGGACTTTCATAAAAGGTTTCATGTGACAGCTGAGACATTACGTCATCGGCTTGACATAAGTAAAAAAGAGGCTAAAGATATAGTAACTCAATGTCAAAATTGCTGTCAATTTTTACCTGTGCCTCATGTTGGAATTAACCCTAGAGGAATCCGCCCATTACAGATTTGGCAGATGGATGTTACTCACATCCCATCCTTTGGCAAATTGCAATATTTACATGTTTCCATTGATACTTGTTCTGGAATTATATTTGCTTCCCCATTAGCTGGAGAAAAGGCGGCCCGTTATTCAGCATTGCCTCGAGGCATGGAGTGCCTGGGGAAAGCCCAAAATTCTTAAAACTGACAATGGACCAGCTTACACTTCCCAAAAGTTTGAACAATTCTGTCGCCATATGGGGGTGACCCACCTGACGGGTCTCCCATATAACCCTCAAGGACAAGACATTATAGAACGGGCTCATCGCACTCTTAAGTCCTATCTTCTAAAACAAAAAGGGGGAGTCGAGGAGGCTCTACCCTCAGTGCCAAGAGTAACTATCTCTATAGCACTTTTTACCCTTAATTTTTTAAATTTGGACAGTCAGGGCCATACGGCGGCTGACCGTCATTGTTCAGAGCCTGACAGGCGAAAGGAGATGGTCAAGTGGAAAGATGTCTTGACTGGCAATGGAAAGGCCCGGATCCCATTTTAATAAGATCCAGGGGAGCTGTTTGTGTTTTTCCGCAGGAAGAAGACAACCCATTTTGGCTACCAGAACGACTGGCACGAAGACTCGTGATATTTGAAGATGATCCTCCAAAGGATGCATCTGCAAATGCTCTCAGCTCCTGTCTGGATCCTCCTAGTTTGGGTTCCTAGTATTTTGGGGGAACAACATTGGGCCATATTATCTGCCTATCCAAAACCTATGCCAGTTAGACATAATTCACTAGTCTTCCCCAAGTTCTTTATATCCAATAAGACCTTGGGCTTACCCTACCTACCTTATGATGAGACTAAAGCACCATTGAGGGAAAGTCATGTTTTTCCCGAAGTAGGCTCCCTCTGCTTTCAGCTTGAGGACTCTGAAGAGGGAGGATGTATTCAGCTTACTAATAGAGCCCTGGGATCATTTGATCATGTGGACAGAGGTTGGGCGAATATAACCCAAAAAGCAAGAACCAATAATGACAACATCACTGATGTTTATTACACCTTTTGGCAAAAGGTTACTTGGATGAATGGTACCTTTTTGAAACCAAATTTTTCAGACAGGGACCGACCTCCACAACCTAGAATGGCCCCCTTTTGTCGTTGGGAGGATGAGGAGGTCATCCCACCGTGGTCTGAGTGTCAATCACGTATTACTCATTGGGCTGATAAAAATAAAACCTTTTCTTTCTCCCCTAACATGATGGTGGACGCAACAAAAGGATGGGTTATGAAACAAGGACTTTTCGTACAAGATTGTAGGATGGACCCCTTTCATAAATGGACGCTCTGTGGGGTGAATGGCAGCTGCACGGACCTTAACCCCCTGGGGTTCATCCGTGGTGGTACAGTAGGGAAATCAATCATTACAGGTACCACAGTTGGCACTGAATTGGGAGCACCTGGTGAGACGAAGGAAATGGTTAATGAAACTGAACAAATTATTGGATGGAATAAAACCATTACAAATCAGACAGATTATCCACCTAGCCCTATTTGTGTTTACCCCCCCCTTTTTTGTTTATACTTTCCAATATCTCCTTCAATAATTGCAGTAATGAAACATGCTGGATGTCGCAATGCTGGGATGCGAGGCAAGAAACTCGTGCCATGGTTGCTAGGGTCCCACAGTGGATTCCTGTTCCTGTGGAGACCCCTTCCACATTATCATTATTCAGAAAAAAGAGAGATTTTAGTATAACTGCAGCCATTGTGACGGCCATCTTTGTCAGTGCGGGTGCAGCCACCGCGGCTGGGTTAGCCATGGCAAATACGGTCCAGACGAGCACAACTCTAAACCAGCTGTCAGCCGTCGTGGCGGATGCCATAAGTTTACATTCATCTGCCAGCGCCCAACTGAAGGGTGGTCTGATGATTCTTAATCAGCATCTGGATCTAGTGGAAGAAAGACTAGACATCCTATTTCAAATGGCTCAATTGGGATGTGAAAGAAAAATGGGAGCGCTTTGCATTACTAGCGTACCATATGATAATTTTACCCGAGCAGCTAATTTGTCCAAGAGGTTGTCTCTCTATCTCGCAGGAAATTGGTCAGAAGGATTCAAAGAAACGCTTGAGGCGCTGAGGGCAGCAATAGTGACAATAAATTCAACACGAGTGGACTTGTCGTTGACGGAGGGACTCTCTTCCTGGATCTCTTCAGCTTTCTCTTTCTTTAAGGAATGGGTGGGGGTGGCATTGTTTGGCATGGTGCTATGCTGTGGGCTGGTGTTCACTTTTTGGTTGGTCTGGAAGCTCAGAGCTCA